TTCTTCCGATTGTCTCATTGTTCTAAAGAAAAATTACCTGCATATGTAGTATTGTCAACATTTTAGATAACAGATTTGTTTCTAAACAGGTGATTAAACTTCTTTATATTAGGATGAACACAAAAACAAGGAAAGCCACACTTGGCTTTTGCCTGAATTTTCAGTTTGTTTAATGGCTAAAGCAGAGTAAGTAGAAGCAGGCATCAAAAATACAGCTGACTCTGCAGAGAAAGAAGCAGAGCAAAACACCTGTGCCCCAGTGCATTAAGAAGCTGTGTCTGCCCACACTCTTCTCAGGGTTGGTTGACTTTTTCCCCCCAGCATTCAATTGCTAATGTTTCAATTTGTGTTATGTAAAACTGGGTAAGAAGTATTCAGTCTTTATCAATGTTAATATTAATTATTTAATATTATTAATATTAATTATTTTATATGCCATATCACTTAAAAAGAACATAATCATTGACAGGAATATGAGTTTTCACATCACATCATCTGTTACATAAGTAAATATAAAATTACTTCCTTGAAACATGAGTCTTTCATAATGGCCTTATTATTTTAAAAATATGGACTTCTGGTCAAGATGGTGGAATAGATGGTCCCCAGTGTCACTCTCTCCCACAGATCAACCAATTACAACTGTAAAGAAGCAACGACAGCCAAGCTGGGGCACCAAAGGAGAAGAGACACATGGGGTGCACGAAGGTGGGAGAAGCCACAATGAGAGAAAGAAAGAACCGCTCTGACTGTTTTGAGCCCCGGCCATGTCCAGGCTGGAGCTGCTGAGTGCATGAAACAGGAGCTGGCAAAGGCCACAGCTGTGCCCTTCAGATGAAGTTCTTGGAGGCAGCAGGGGAGAAGAGGGCCTTGGTGACCCCCAGGCCAGCAAGACAACTAACAGGGTTCCCGTGGACCCACATAGGACTGAGAAGCAACAACGACTGAAAACAAGGAGCCACTCAGAGGCTGGTGAGTCATCGCAAGGGGCTGAAGTGTTTGCAGCACGGGTGGTGGGGGAAATGGGCCCACAGGGGAACACTGGGTGGGGCACAGCAAGGACAGCTGATCTGCACCCCACTCAGCACAGGACCACTCAGAGGAGACTGGTCAGGAATATAGAATTGCATGGGGTGCAGTTTGATGAAAAGACTCAGGCCCAGACCAGAGTTTCTACACAACCCAGATATACAGGATCTCATGAGAGCCAGAAGTACCTATAAAGTCAACCATTAAACCCTGAGCTGCCTGGAAAGCCTCCCCTAGAGAAACAGCAGCAAAGCAGCAATTTAGCTCAACCACACAGCTCAAGTGCTGGTCCCCACAGGAAGTCCCCCCCATTTTAGAAGTAAGCAAAGGACAACAAATTAGTTCCAGTGCTGAGTTTAAGTGGTGGGAACAGCAAATAATCCAACACAGAAATGAAAGTAAAAACAAAGTGCCCACAACCAGAGACAAAGTTTCATATTAACTAGTAAAAGTCTCATTTCACCAAAGAATACCTATCCCACCTATTCCCTGGGATACCACGCCAGAAAGAGGGGATGGCCAGGGGCCTCAGCCATGCCCCCTGACACCCACAACTAATCCTGAGGGTGGGGGGCTGAGGGCCTCGGCCACACTGGTCCTACATGCACAACCAGCTCAGTGACAACCACCGACCACCGAGCTGCAGCAAGAAGGGCCCTGGGTTCCCGAGCTGGGGTGGTGGGGGTGAGGGCTTTTGCCACATCCCTGGACATCCGCTCCCAGCCCGGCAGTGACCAAGACACTGCTGGAAGCCACCTGGTCTCCCCTATGGTAATGGGGGGGTGGTGTGACAGGCCTCGATCCCACTCCTCCTCTTTCCTCCTTCTTCCATCCCATTTCCTTCCCCTTCCCGCCCCAACTGCTCCACAACAACATCCTAGAATGTAAAAAAAAAATGATATTAATAAATCATTTTAGTTTTTTTTTTTGGATAGTTTGACGTCCTTTGGTTCTTATTTTTAGATTTTAATCTTTCTTGCATGCTTGCAAGATTGGTAACCAAAAAATGGCCACGAAAGAAAATGTTCTCAGAATAAAGTCCTCAAATAATGTAGTTTATTTTATTATATAGGTCTTTGTTTTCAAAGACTGGATTAATCAAGCACTAAATAAGCAAATAAAGTTTTTAAAAATATTCCATCTACAAAAGTTCCCCTTTGTAGAAGAGATATATTAGAGATTATTATCTTTTTCACAAAAGGGTTTTTTCCTTTACAAAAAGATTACAAGTTCCTTTAAGGAGGAGGGTCCTCTAGTAAGTAGCATTAGTAGGGGGTAGATTGGCAATGGCTGCAGTAAAGGAGCAGATGCAGAGCCACCAGCACAGCACCACCACTGCAGGTACTGCCACTGCTAATAAGCCCTGGAGTAAGCCTTTATTTTTTATTTTTGAAATTATCAAATATTTTAAGCATGTCATACAGAAAATAACATAACATACACCAGTACCCAGTTCCCAGCTTTGCCAGTTCTTACTATTTTACCTTATTTGCTTCACATCTTTTCTTTTACAACACGTCTTACATGTGATTAAGTCCCCGTGTGAACTCCATTCCAAGCCCTCTCTGATTTGTGACTGATAATTTCCATCTATATTTGAATATGTTTTCTGTATATATGTAATCATAAACAATGTATAATATCTTTTCTCTCATTTTAAACTTTATATAAATGTATCATACTTCACACCTTCTGCAACTTTTATTTTCTCTGAACATTGTCTTTGAGACCTATCTATCTCTATACCTGTCTATTTCTAGTTTATTGATTTTATTGCTGTATAAACTTCCTTTGCATGATTGTAACAAAATTTATTTATGTTGTTTCCGGTTAACTGTATTGTAACCAAGGCTACGATGATTATTCTTGAGCATGTCATCCCGTGCACACAGCTGGGAATTTCACTAGAGAATATACATCCAGGAGAGGAATCCCTGAATCCCAGGGCACACATTTCCTAACAGTGACACCGCGCTGTGCCAAGAGGTGTGTCAATTCTCTCCTAACAGCTATGTAGGAGAATTGCTTAGACCCACACCCTTTCCACCCATGTAGTGTCAGATTTAAAAAATTTTTCCAACTCAATTGCAATGAAATGATATCTCTTTAATTAGAATTCTCCTGAATACGAGCACATTTGAGCTTTTTTTCCTATTCTCTCCCCCCCCATATGTTTCTGTGAACCATTTGGGTTTTATCTTCTGTGAATTGCCTGTTCCTGTACTGTGTCCATTTTTTCCTTTGGGTCATTTTTTTTTTCTTCTTATTGATTTGTAAGAGTTCTGGTGGTAATTTTTGTCGTTTTTCTTAGGAGGAGTGAGTGGAGGGAAACACATGTTTTAATTTAATTTTTGATTTTTATTGATTATTCAATAATTCTATTTTTTAATTTAATTCATATTTTTAAAAATGAGCTGGGTTAAGTTGGCCATGGCATTATATTATATTTTTAATTTT